TTTTTTCCTGCTTTTGCTTTTCCATCAAAGCAGAATTTGTAGGATGCTCGACCGAGACAACAAAGAAAAGGAGAACGAGAAACTGATGAGCAAGTGCCTGAACTGAAGATTAATAAGGAAAAAAGATGAGAAATGCGGAATAGGTTAAAGGACAGGGGTTCTGCGAGCTGCAAATACCCCGCGCAGCTGCAGCCTACTGTAAAGCTGGAAAGACTTCAAAAAAGCACGCCCGCGGTGGTGTAAATGCACGAAACGGGGTTGTCGTCAACGAATATCCTTTGCCGCAGTAACGATGCACTAATTACTGCTATTCGCCCGTATAAAGGGCAAAATCTGTAGAAACACTGTGTAACTTCTTTTCTATGCATCAATGTCTCGAAGGCACAGCAATGATGTATATCTCTAAACGCTAGTGTAACTCACTATAACCTTTGATTTAACTGGCTTGGCTTCGTTAAGGAGGGGCTTTGTGACGTAATTAAGGCCGCTCGCGCCCGCGACGCACCTGCGTCTCTCGCGCGGGTGCTCTCTGATCACTAGCTAGCCTTAATTAGGTCACGGAGCCACGCCTTGTCAGAGCCAAGCCAGTTGAATCAAAATTTACTTCGATTGTGAGAGAATAACCATGGAGTACCAATATGTTTTCGCAGTTTGAAAAAAAATGATCAGACGGTACGTGCGCGAATGTAGGATGCAAGTGAGACGACCGCGAGAGATTCTAGCCGCTCGATTTGGGTTAGTTTAATTGCAATGCAGGTTAAACTCGTTCGACTAAACGTGACGCTGTGGATCTACAGAATTTAATTTATAGGGGATCGTAAGCTCATTCCAAGAACCATCAAATAATGGAAAACCGCGGTGCAATCCCGAAGCGAGCGCCTTGCAGGAAGATGTCTAAATGGTCTTTTCAAATCCTCGTCATATTCGAGTTATTTTGTCGTCTTAATGCTGACCTTGTTGCATTTGTTTGTCATGTTAGTGTTGTCTAACATAATAACTCTCTGCAGGTCATACTATTAATAGTTTTTTTTCAGTTTTTGAGCTCGAAACTAGTAGGTATGGCTCTATTGTTTATGAAATGTTGCTATGACCGCTATTTTATTTGAAGAACTTTGTGTCTCTCATGTACTAGCGCACAAGCTATTCTGAAGACCTAACCTAGGCCCATTCTAATTAATGAAAATTTGGAGATTTGCTGGTTTTTTTGTGGAATATTTCTAAGCAATTTTACTGCTCAGATAATCGCTGGGGGCAGGCGACCATGCGATTTATGGGCGGGCGAGCACCGGAAAAATAGTTCGCTGATTTCTTGCGGTCCGCATGCAGATATTTGGAAGAATTTTAGCGAAATTTTAGACGAATGCTTGGAAAACAATCGCGGTTTCCTTACAGATTAGCTGCGCGCAGTGGCCGCATTCTTGCGGACTTTTCGCGAAAATATTGCAAAATTTTCGAGGGCCGCAGGGTTTTCGTGAGAAGCGCGCAGCCCTCAGATACTTTCCGCTGAGAGAAAGTACCTCAAACCTGAGTAATTAAACCAACGGTGACACCTTTGCCCCACAGAGTCTTACCCGTGCTCGACGTAAGCCCGAAACTGCGTAAATAGACTCCGAGCGCTTGCTGAAAGTTCGGCCAGCGTTTGCTGAAAGAGATTATTTGACGAGCGCCTGCAGAAAATTCTGTGTTGCTGCCCTGGCAGAAAATGCGACCGTAAAGGAAGTGCCGCTTTCTGAAAGTTTGGCCACGCCCCAAAATTTTGCAGAACCCTTGCAGAAAAGTGCGAGTTTGCGGACCGCCTGCCCCCGGCGATTATCTGAGTGATTGTGGTGCGCGATTTGAACAAACTGCTTTAACTTTTTGGCTTTTGCTTTCACTACAAGCGCTTACTTGTTGCAAATGACAGTTGAAGTGTTGAACCGAACCTCAGAGCGTTTATTTATAAATGTTTTAGGTCTTGGAATCTTCGGATGAACGCGACGGCGAATTCAAATTTCTTACTACGATTTGTGAAGGCCATACTCTTCCTCAAACCCTCCGAGTCAAACCCTCCCGCCCAATTCTCCACTAAATGTGGACCTTGAAAACTTCGGAAAAAGCTCATTTTCGCCATTTTCATGCGCTGAGGAGCCCAGGCATGGGTTTCTCATGGCGAGAAGGTCTCGAAAAGGTGAATATTCGAAAAACGAAATTCTCCCGAGACACTGCTTTCAACTAGAAGATTAAGGTAATAAAATAGAGGGCGAGTAAGAGTGGGACAGTGTGACAGGGCACCTGCTTGATAAACTTTTGGGTTGAGGGAAGAACATCAGACACTCCAGACATCAGAAAAATTGGAGGTGTAAAATTGAAGTCGCATTTATCTACAACAGCTTTGGGCAGGCAGTAGAACTGGACACCTTGGAATTCAGCGCTCTGTTAAAAAAGTCTTAGTAAAGAGACACCGGCTACTTTGGTAAACCTGTGAAAATTGGGTCGAATATGGAACTGTGAGGAGGAAAATAGGGAAGGGGAAAGAATGAGCACCGTGACGGAGCACTATATTGGAGAAGATCCTGGGAAGGGACATTGGACACCCTGGCTATGAAAGAATTTGAGAAATGGGTTTACTTTCGCTTACATTGGATACACAGGAACATTGGGCACGGAAAATATTCAATTAGGAAAATCATGGAGAAGACTCTCGTTTTCGACATGAGAAATCCGAGGTTGTAATATAGGGCGATGAAGAAAGAATGAAGTTTTTGTAAACTCAGAATATCGGAGTAACAATAAGAGGGGAATATTCGTTTGCGCTATTTTTGATTAAAAGCTTGAAAGACGTCACTGTTTAGGTGCATTCACTTAGATGCAGACGCAGATCTAATGCGCTCTTCAGCACTAAGCAAACAGAATAGACATTATTAACTTGAGCCCGAAGAAAACTTATGTAGCGACAGAATGGCTGCGAGACTTAATCAGATCTGAAGCGAGAAATTCCGGACACCGGCATTTCGATTGAAGGGTTACTGCCTGAGGCAACTTATTCTCCTGCATTCATGCGGACCAGGAAAAATTCTGAGCTTTAGCGCGAAACCCAGTGATGTTGTGATATTCAATTACAGTGCAACTTGCGCTCATCATTGTTCTCTTGAGTGGAATGCATTTCATTCCATGTTTTCGCGTTTATATGTATTTACGGAAATCAAATAAATATTTTTTGTAAACTTTTCACAACATTTGTACACTAGGTGAATTGAGTGCTTCAATTCTCAAAATAGTAAAAGTGTAAACAAAATCTAACGCTTGAGCACAAAAGCAAAGTTATGCAATTAAGTTTTTCTAGTCAGCATGGTGATAATGACAAAAAAGTTCAATAATAGAACGTAGAGGTTAAGCAGATGTGCGAGGAGAACTTGACTTTCAAATTTCTTTTTCATCTTCCTCGTTCAGTTTCCATGATGTATACCGGATCGGGCACAAGTGCTTATGCAAGTGCGCTTTTTCTGAAATAAGTGTCTTTGGAGCCGTTTTGCATAGAACAGGTGTATATTAAATCGTTCCAAAAGTTGTTCCGTTTTTCGACCTATTATAAAAACATGTGGAATAAAGACAGGAAACTGCTTTAAACGCTAACCGATGCAGCTTTTCTTCTTTCTAGCAGCAAGTTCCGGCCCTGTTTGCTTGTGCTTGTTGTGTCACTGAAATAACCGCTGAAGTCCCACATCCATGGTTTTACCATCTCTATTATGACACTTTCTCGGAATCTATTTCGAACTTTTGGGCCAAGCCTTGATAACATGTAGATAGAGTAAACAAAGAGTAATGGCAGTGCAGTTTATTGGCATCTTCAACTGGATTCTCGGTATTTTTAAAGACAACTTTTCGAAAGTCTTCACTTCAAAATACAGAAACACTCCAAGCAATAACAATCTCCGGATTTTGAAACTTCCAAAAATCGATTACGATTACGCACCAACTTTTCAAAACATCAGAGCGTTTATTTCCAAAAACCAAGAATTTATAAAGACCATTCAATTATTCCAAAGACTTTACGAATTGGGAAGAAATAACACCTCCAGAAAGAGGAAGAAAACCTGCATCAAATGGCATGCGCCGTTTGAAGTTCTGTAAGCTTTGAAATGACCAAAAGCAAATTTTGATAGCATCAGAAATTTTAAAAATTTTGAAAAGCCAGCTATGAGTGCCAAAAAAAACCGCACTGCATTGCATTTTGTATACGCTGACTGCTATCAAGGCTTTCCCGAAAGCTCACATTGGAGCCCAAAAATGTGTCAGAGTTAAACATAGAAAACCATGGGTGCGAGATTTCGGCGATTATTTCAGTGTTCAGTGCGTTTTCGGCGCTTTCGGGGCGCTTATTTTACATTTCGAGTTTGCAGCGCCACAAAATGACAAACAAGCTTTTTTGAAAGCTCTGCAGGTTGCACACGACAAACCATGAACGCTGTGCGGCCGCCGTCGTTAGGTGCGGAGGCTGGGCGACCGTGATATATGGGCCGTGTTGAAGGCTTAGGTTTCGTAGAGCTGTTTCCGGCTGCAAACGTCTGTCATCCCTCAGTTGGGAGTCTATTATCACAGTGCTACATGAACCGGGTTCCTCCCAGTCTGCTGGAACGCTGCCATTGAGCATGACCAAAAAGTTCTTGCAGCATGTTCATTCGGTTCGGAGCACAGAAAAGGATGTCTGGGAAGATAAAAAACAGCAATGGACTTTGTAGACGATTAGGAACTGCCCACGTAAAAACACTCAAAATTTGCTTCAGGATAAGCTCTGCTATTACAATTGGAGACGAACAAGGTGCGTGGGGTTTACGTTACTTACACACGTAAAAATTGTAACTTGACAATGCTAGTATGACATTACGCATCATCTTTTCTCGACGACCGCTCCGTCATTCTGAGCAAAATGAATTGAAGTGATAGCAAGGTCAATAGATAATGGATTAGTATTTAAGCCTTGCAATGAATGAGCGTCCTCATTTTCTTGTTCTTATCCAACTGAGGGCGTTAAGCTGCCATGAACTACACCTTGAATAATGAACAGCTGGACAATATTATCGCTCGACTGAACAGTGAGTTTGACAGTCTTCACATCTTAGAGACCAAGCCAAGAACATCCGGGTAAGAAAAAAGTGTAGCTGTGCAGTTGTGTAGTTTTGCACGATTACACAGCGACATTTCCTGAACACACTCCAGTCGCTGCAATGACCTCCACTTCCTGTCGCGAGGATGTTTATTGCGGAGAGCAGTCAATAACTTGGCAGAGCATTGCTTGTCACAATCCACGTTTATATCGCATGGGAAATCTCTAAAAGCTAGCAAACACCGGAAGTCGTTCTAGGAGCCAACCAGCCAAAGTCTTCACTAGCTCTTGTTCGCTCTGTAAGGCCTTGGACAGAGTTCACGCAATTCGGGACGTCGCGATTCAATCGCTAAAGACAAGTGTTACGAGTTCATTGCATGCCAGTCTTCTTGTAATACGGTTGTGATAGTTTTGCAATACGACTAATCGTATAACTATCACAACCGAAATACAAGAAGATCGGCATGCATTGAACTCGTAACACTTGTCTTTAGCGATTGAATCGCGACGGTCAAATCGCGTGAACTCTGACCGAGGCCTAACTGAAACATCACATTTAGATCACCAGTGCGTCACCTTTGCTACGCGGAGGTTCGCCCTGGCTCTGTTATCCGTATGCCTTATTCATGCTTCCAAAATGATGACTTTGAAACTCACCACGCGATGCTGAGCATCATAAATGAATCGTAAACAACTGTTCATTCTTGGAGCATCTCCATGCAAGGTCGGTAATTTTGAGAAAGAAAACTTTTTGCCAAGGAATAAATATGAATTCGAACAGATTATTGAATTTATTTCGGTTCGGTAATTATTATAAAGATAAACTTTTTGAGCACTTTTTGAGCTAGAATTCTTGAAGCGCAGATTTGCTTGTCAGGCAAATCAGGATTTTGCAAAAAGTTGAATATGTGACCTAGTTTTGCGCGCCAAAAGCAAGGTGGACCCGTTTGAGGCGCAATTTTTGCAGGACCATCGATCCGGCTCGTCCTGTGCATGGTGGGCCTACATGCTGGTACGGTATGCTATGCAAAATTGTAGCACGATAGCTTGGCTGCAGCTGCTTCTATGAATTTCGTGTCAGACAGACAAACACACACACGCACAAAAAGACAGACGTTTAGCGCTTTATTATGAGTCATGATACTAAGATTCATCAGCGGTCTTCTTACTTGAAGCGCATTGCTTAGTTTTTCCAAATCGTCTTGTAATCTGCTGTCTTTTTGAGTATGTGTCTTATCTTAAAAGGGATGTAACTTAGATTCGCGTTTCGACATGAGACACATATGTTCGGAGGCTTCCGACGCTGACTCCAAATATGCTGTTCCTAGCTGCGGCACGTCATTCTGAAGCAAGTTATTGATTTTTTTTTGTGCAAAATTTGCATACTCTTTGATCTACTGGCATTACGGTATCATGACCTAAGTACTAATCGACTTATAAAGTCTCTTGTCAACTACAGAAGACTCAATTTGGTATAATTCCAGTATTCTTGCACCGTCTTTAGGCAGATCCATCTACAGGTAGCCTTACCATATGGAAAAGTATGGCGATTTCGTACAGAAAAAACTCATAGCTTCCTTCAAAATAATAAGCCGCAGCTGGGAACAGCATATTTGAAATCAGCGTTCAAATCTGATTCCAAATATGCTGTTTCATCTCGAGACGCGATTTCAACAACAAGACACCTGACATCCCTTGTTAGTTCGCGTATACCAAAGCGGTTTTACGGCTCTTCTCTTCTCCTACGACCGAAGCCGGTTGACTGGGACACGCTGACCCAGAACTCACGGGATAAAAAATGCGATCCTTGACTTGATAACAGCGGAATTAGGACTGCGGTTCCAAAAAGAGCGTAGGCACAGTCAGGCTGCATTTAGTTGAACTGAATGCTGCGTCGTATTCAGTTCGTCTTAACTTGATCCTGCTTGACATATCGACGATCATTTGCAACAACTACATTTTTAGGTGGCTACATTCAGGCCGATGCCTACTTTAACTACTCTGGCTACTACTACTGACTGCAACGAAAGCTCCAAAATCTTGTAGCTCCAATTTGGCGACGAGCATCTACAAGCGAATCAATGTAGTGCTAATAGTAAAGGTATGATGTCATACCTGAGCTGCAAGGAATGCTGCATTAGCGCAACAGCCTGGTGAACATCTTGGAGATTGTCCTAAAAAAGCTACGGAGTCATGATCGTTATCCGTGCCGACAAAAGATTGCCCGTCAGCATGAACGGCGGATCTATATCTGATAGAAAGATGGCGGTCGTGGTTGGCGGAGAGAGATAATGTCATGCGACAGGCATGACATTATCAGTCAAGTAAACAGTCAAAAATTCAAAAACGTTGTTGAGTTTGTCAAGAACACAGGTGTACTTGAAATATGGGAGAGAAATCTGGTGCCCTATCAACTACAAATTTCCTTGCGCATCGGACGATGATAAGGCCCACGTCCTTTGACCACTCAAAATGTCGCCAAGTATCTGTACATGCACAAGTACACTACCTATGGGCCGTACTGGCGTCCTGTTCTGTTCATCATGTTACGTGCAGTCTACCGTGAATTACAAGATAGCTCTGCTCTGGCAGCCTTCGGATCACCACGATGTCAAAGTTTCAAAGTTTAAAACTCACAAAGCTTTGAAAAATCTGACCGAAAGTCACTGCGGAGACCTCCCCGTTGGATGTATGTCATAAATTGGCAAGGGCACGGTCTCTTACACGCCTACAATTTAGTGTGTAAAAAAACGTGCGATGTCGTCCACAAAGACTTTTTGGTGTGGACATCGTACCCCATCTCTTCACATAGAAGGCGGCAAGTACTAGGTTATTACATAAGTCTTGTTACACTCTAATTTCTTACGATGATAAGTTGTGAACTTCACAAATTCAATGGGGCATTAGGGTGCCATTCGATAGAGCAAAGCGAGCTCTACAAGATGGTATGCAAAAGTTCGCACCAGCTCCGACCCACCGAAGTTTGCATCCCGGAATGTGAGTCGAAGGCTCAAAGAATCAGGAAAAATTCATATTTTCGTCTAAAAAAATTCTCCGCATCTCCAACTTGTTCACACAGACTGCACACCACATCAGACACTCAAATGTACCGCTGCTGTATTTTTTCCTCATCTAGAATTGAGAAAACGAAAATTTAATTTTTAAAAAACGGAGCTATGCTATTTCTATTCATATAGCTGTATACTACAAGCTCTTAGAAATAAAACCGTGATCCAGCTTTCTAGAAACCCTACTTTTCGAAAAATACCGAATTTGCTTTCTCACTGTGGTGTTTAATGCTAAATTGGATAATTTTCAAAAACTAGGGCTTCTAGAAAGCTTAAAATGAGGGAGAAATACAGGAACGGCATAAATGAGTGTCTGATAGAGTGTACAATTTCTGCGAGCAAGTTGGAGATTCGTAGGATTTTTTTGAACAAAAATAGAATTTTTTCCTAATCTTTGAGCCTCCAATACGACTCAGATTTTAGATGCAAACTTACAATGGATCGGAGCTGGTGCAAGCTTTTGCAAACCATCTTGTAGAGCTTGCTTTGCTCTATCGAATGGTATTGCCTTGAGCTCTGTAAAAAATATGAGGTGCATGACTTATCACCGAGAAGTTAAAGTGTAACAAGTATTAACAGCCTAATATACCGAAATCTGTCTTGTGTCGTTAGAACCCAAACGGGAACGGCTATGCTTCTTATAGAAGGCGAGAGCATGATGACGGTGGGTACGATGTTGTAAAATTGAAGTTGGGCCATCAGATCATAATAAGCATAGTTGAAACAACAGATGCATTGTTCGATCACTCTCTCATCGTCAAAGATGTTCTGAGCACATGTCAATGTGCTTAGCCTCATCTCGTAGACTCTCTGGGCACCAGAAAGGAAAACACGTACAGAATGTATCAGCGCTAACATAGATTTATGTTGTAGAGTAGAGCTGCAGTTATCTGTTGCATGCCAGTCTAATGAAAAAATCCAAAAAAAAATAAAACAGAAGTCCAGGAAATTGGCAAAACAGAAAAAGCGTTGTTAGGGAACCGAAGATACCGAAATTCCAAAACTCAAGTTTTGCCCTTGAAGAACACAAATTCGGAGTTTTTTTTTTTTAAATCGAATTGTATTTGTTGCCGAGCAAAGCCGGTGAAAGATACTGCCGTTTTCATTCTTGATTGAAGTGAGAATGTTCTGAAAGCCCTTAACAATTCCTAGAGTTCCCAAAAATCGAACTCTCCTTTTCTTCTTCGCAAACATCCGCAATTGGGATGTTGGATATTCGGGAAGCGCACTCATTTTTACATCTTCTAACAATAACTCTGTAAAAGTCCATGCAAAAAAATTACGCCGATTTAAAAAACATGCAGATTCAAACGATAATTTCAGCTCTTTATAATCGGTTAGACATTTGTATCGTGCATGTTCTATCCTTTCCAGAAGTTGTATGTATAGTAAGCAATGTGAGTTTTAGTTTTTTGAAGCCTTTGCTTCAAACAATACTTTTGTTCTCAGGCGGCAGCACTATTTATGGAGGAGTGCAACCTATGTGAATGCGAGGCTCCAATCAAAGTAGTGGGGGATATTCATGCTCAATATCAAGTAAGTATCTATTTTCGAGCATATTGCCGGGTCGATTTTCTCAACCTGCAGGATATGAATCGGCTGTTTGATCTTATTGGTCGTGTTCCTCAAGAAAAATTTCTATTTCTGGGAGATTATGTTGATCGAGGACCACAAGGAGTGGAAGTGCGCAAGTGCTGTGGTTCTTAATGATTAGCGTTGAAAATCAACTGCACAGGTTGTGATACTTCTGTTTGCTTTGAAGCTGCGGTATCGGGACAGAATTTATTTGCTACGTGGAAATCATGAGACCCCAGCTGTCAACAAAATCTACGGTTTTTACAATGAATGCGTCCTGAAATACGGAGCTGGAATATGGTGGGATTTCCAAGCGTGCTTCAACCGCATTCCCCTAGCAGGACTGATCTCGAAAAGGGTATGCTTTGTAACTATATTTTATATTAAGCTGTTAACTGAGTAGCAGCTTCTTCCGTAAATTTTCGCCGATCTTAAAGCGCTCTTTTTTCACATTATGTAGAATGAAGTGCGGGCTACAGACTAAAAAACCGCACCACTTTTGGTGACAAAAGAAGAAATCGAGGCGTTTCTTGAAAATTAGTAAAATTTGAGCTTTACAGGGTTACAAGCAAAAATAAGGCCGTTTTTGCAACCTAGATCAGGCACAGCAAAACTGAAATTGTGCAATAGATCGTGTCCAAAAATTGTTATTTCACTCAACAAAAAAGATTTGGAACTTAAAGTTAAGTCGAGATCTGACGCCTTCACGAAGTTGAATGAGTCTCTGCACGGAAGGCTGCGCAATCGTGAAGGATTAAGATATTGGAGTTTCAGAATTCGCCGAGATTTGGCATAAGGGGTTACCTGCTGTACACAAAAATCATGTTCGTTTATTCGATTAACCCCTCTTTTCGTGTTCAATGCAAAACCTCCACACCGTAAATCTACCGCAGTCCTACAAAAAACCCTACCGCACAATTTGATATTGCTTTCATGATTAGAATGTCGGATAACCTCCCTATGCCAAATTACAGCCAAATCTGTAGTGATCTAACTCCCCTTTCACAGCATAGTTATCGCAACCCTCACTATGACGTCTGAATTCAAATGAATGGTAGCTACATCTGTGATTTGAGTCAGAGCTTACATTATGGCACGTTTTAACTGTGTCGTGCTCAAAGGCAAAAGTTGAAAAAATGGTTGCGATCTAGACAGCTTAATAGTTATAGTACAAGTGATTCGCGTTTCCGATATAGCTCATGTCGGCCAATGTCGTCACCGCAGAGATATCATATGAATCGCTAGACCTACTCTACGGTTTTATATACAAAGCGGTTCATAAGAAAGCTTTCTGAAATGTCCATTTTTTAGTTTTCTTGTGCTCTTTTGTTTCTATGATTTCTCTATATTTTTTTCAACCAGCACACAACCAAAGCACATAGATGGTAGATTCAGTGTCACCTCTGCTTCGCAGAGGCTCGCACTGAATCTACCATCTATGTGCTTTAATCAATCTCGTAAAATCGTGGCACTGGAACTCACCGCGCTATGCCGACTACCACGGATAAAATGTAAACAACTACTAATTTAGAAAGTTTTTTCAAGTGAGGTAGGTGATTTCGCGTGGATGAAGCTTTTTGTAGGAAGACAAACGCAAATTCGAATAGGTTTTTGAATTTGTCATGGCTTGATAGTCGCCATAAGGCTATAGCCACCGTGAGCTACATCTCTGTGCAAAAATCTTCTCAGTACTTGGCTAGAACCTTGGCAAATTGATCATTCACGCAACCAATTCTTTCTGGCGCCGTTTTCGTTATGTAGTAAACTTTTGACCACTTTCCGGGCTAAAGTCCATCGCTTGCATTTGCTTACCAAACACATCCACGACTTTGCAAAAAGTGGTGATACGGAACCAATTTTGCAGGACAGAAGCCAGGTGGAGCCAGCCACATACACATACACATACACATATACACATACACATACACATACACATACACACATACATATACATACACACACACATACACACACACATGCACACGCATACACATACACACACATACACACACACACGCAAAAACACGTAAACACTTCTTAGCCCGTTATTATAAGGTCTTGATCCTATTATGCTTAAACCAAAGGTATTACGTATCCATCTGCCGGTCGAGTAGTATTCCCATCAACTTCTGACCCGAACAGAGTCAAGCTCTCACGCCCGCCATGCGCGAACGTGGGCGCTTCACTCTGTTCGAGTCAGACCTGGATGGGATTACTACCCAAACTGAACGTGAAGAGCCGGCAGGATCAGGCAGGTTGGCATTTCTGACGCATTTCATGTGTATCATATCACGCATTAGCTTACAAGGGAAGCGTGTTCAGTCAAAGTGGCCTTTCCAGATGAGTCCCATGCTTTGAAGAGCATTAAGTGGTGATTCCAAATCCGCCTTCCAAATCTGCCAAGCCCCTTTAAACGCCGAGTTATGGCCGTTTTTTGGGGTCAAAAAATTGAACGCAAAACTGGAACAAAATCGCCCAAATTTGCTGAAATGGTCCAGTGTCAAGTATCAGAGCCGTTTATGCAATAAACCAGTGCGTCACCTCTGCTTCGCAGAGGCTCGCACTGACTTTACTATCTAGGCCCTACTCATTCTCGCACAATGATGGCATTGGAACTCACCGAGCAATGCCGACTATCACGAACAAAATGTAAACAACTACTCATTTCGAAAGCTTTTTTATGTGAAATCGGTGATTTCGCGTGGATGAGACTTTTTGCAGGAAGACAAACGCAAATTTTTATAAGTTTTCGATTTTCCCGTGGTCTTGACAGTTGCAATAAGAACAGCAGTCACCGTGAGCTACATCTTTGTGCAAAAATCTCGTCAAAAGCTCTGGTAAAACCTTGGCGAATTGACCATTCAAGCAACCAATACTTTTTGTAAAGTAATGGACATTTGATCATTTTTTTGGGCCTAAGTTAACGGCTTGCACATTTACTTGGCATAAGCATTCACGACTCTACAAAAAGTGGAATTACGGACCCAATTTTGCGGCCCAAATGCAAAGTGGATCCGTTTGACTCGCAGTTTCTGAGGGATCCACTAAACGAATCTGCACGTACTTTTGCATTTTGGACTTTCATGCGGATAGCATGCACTGTGCAAAATTTGAGCCCAGGAGGTTGGCTGGATCACGCTCTACGAATTTCGTAACAGACACACTCACACATACACAGACAGACACACAAAGTCACGTAAACATCCTTAGCGCGTTATTATAAGTAATGATACATTTCGTCTAATATGGTGACACCTACATTGTTTTATCTGAGCGCTAAAAAGATAGTAACAATCGATTTTACAAGATTTTCGCATTCATTTTTCGTTCCAAAAAATGGTCGTGACCCGGCTCCCAGAGGCACTTGGGAGATTTGGAAGGCAGATTTGGAATCATGGTGCAATACTCTTCAAAACAGTATGGGTCTCATCTGAAAAGGCCACTTTGAATGAACACGCTTCCCTTGTTAGCACGCCTAGCACTAGCAGGCTCTGGTGCCCGTCCCAATTAACTTGCTTTGGAGTAAAGCTCCGCGGCCAAGGGCGGCATATTTAGAAGGAGTTTCGGCTACTTCCAGATATACCCTTTGCTTCAACCAGATTGGCTGCTGGAAGGTGGGACTTCTAACCCAGGAGGCGACTGCTCGCGTCGGCGACGCAGTCTGCGCCTCCTTCGCGAACATGCTCTCCGATCATTTTCTACCCTCAATTGTCACAAAGTCCCGCCTTCCAGCGCCAATTTGGTTGAAGCAAAGAGTATTTCACAATCAAGGTCAAACTGAGTTAATACATTCCTTTGTTCGTTATGAGTTATTAACACATCGCAATTTTTAGGTTAAGTAAAACAAAATATCAAAATATACTCCCATTTTATGACACTTGTAATGTCCAAATCAAAGTAGTTGTTTGCTTTGTATCTTCAATGGCAGGTCTTATGCATGCATGGAGGCTTGTCCCCGGAACTCAGTCACCTCGACGTTATTCGGAATATACCACGTCCATGTGAACCTCTTGATCGCGGTCTTCTTATCGACCTTACCTGGTCCGATCCTACTAACAAAGGAGAAGGATGGTTTCATTCCATAAGAGGTAATTTGCTCAAAACGTTGATCAAGCTATTTTTTTTCGTTGCAGGCATTAGCTACATGTTTGGTAAAGGAGTGGTTCAGCAGGCATGCCAGATGCTTGGCATCGACTTGATTATTAGAGCTCATCAGGTATGTGTACTAAGGTTCTCGTCGGCTAAAACAAGTTTTCATCAGGTTGTGCAAGATGGATATGAGATGATGGCGGGCAGAAAGCTAATCACTGTCTTCTCAGCACCAAACTACTGCGGACAATTCACTAATGCAGCGGCAATTGTGTGCCTCGACGAGGACTTACAGGTTCATGAAATCTTTAAAATAATGTTTAATGTATAAAGAAATCTTCAAACATTATCTTAAAAAATCTTTCAGATCACTTTCCAACAAATGAAAATGCAAATTCCGGCCAATCTTGCGCCGAAAGCTCGAACAGCTCCGGCAATTGCATGTGACACTAATCCAACAAACGCTAAAGCGGACAAAGAATTCATAAAACCATTTACTGTGTGTTGAATTTCAGTTCACTTGTCGCTATCTGCAACATAATACAAATGGTTTGCATTTAGGGGTTCAAATCAAAAGGAGCATCGACAGCAAAAACAGAAGAAAAAGAGAAAACTAAAACAGAAGACAAAGAGAAGAGCATGAAGACTGCAAGAATGCCAGTTACAGAGAAGACTACAGAAGCTGCTCCAGCACCTTCGTCGGATGGTCCTACCCCTACTGTGCTTCCAAGAGGTCCTGATGCTGCTGGAAGTAATGATAAAAAAGACGAACAGGTGACTTATGCATTTGATAAAAAACGCAGACGGAAGGTACTTTTACAGACAGATAAAAATAAAGAGGAAGCCAAGGACGAAAAAAAGTCTGATGAACCTGAAAACAAAACTTCTGATAGTAAAGCAGCAGAGAATTAAATTTTACCTTCATCATATTCAACAACAACGTTGGTATTGCGAATAAAAATAATGAAAAGCATCGGAAAGTTTGTTAAGAATCTTCCCAATAATTATACCACACGTTCTGATGAAAACTGTGCGCTAGTTTTTCAAAAGCACAATAGATATTAGGATTTCATTAAGCAACTAATTTGTGCAACTCAAATCAGATTTTGTGGGGGATGCATTCATTTTTTGGCCTGGGTAGCCCATGATATAATGTACAAATGTCTCAGATAGCCTGATTTATGAGTTGAATAATAGGAGACAGTTTGTCCTGGCGAAATTCGAGTTTTTATTGAGTACAAGCAAAACTGAAGACGTTCACGACTTGAACAAAGCGCATAGTACAGAAAATGTTCAGATGGTTAGAATACAAGATAGGTCGATGCTGCTCACAAATTGAACGAGTTCTCAGAGCGGATCATCAATGTCTTATATAAATGAGGAAACCTCTGGTTTGCGATTGGTATATACGATACCTATTCATGTCAACTCCTCAGCATCCTTAACATTACCGTATCGCTCAGCGGTTGGATTTTCTATGCGGAAGTGTCTTTCATCTCGTTCCCTTTAGTCTCAACAATCTCAATACTGATTTGGCTTCTTTCCAAATCTGACTAATTCTAACTGCCTTATCTCTATTTTTGATATTTGTGTAACTACCAATCGATCTTGCGACTTTTTATAGGCGTGTATTGGTGGATCAAATATCTAGTGACTCATCCTGTCCATTCATTCTCTTTTCTTACCGAGAGAAATAGCGACCCAGTGATCGAAAAATTGCTTGCCCTCCTGTTTGGAAAACATCAGGGGTGATTACCACACATCCGATTTGTTTGGTACATGCCATGAGGGAGCTTTAATCGAGAGAGCCCATTACGGTACCCCAAGAAACTTAGATTACATTAAAGGCTTGTGAAATTAATAGCAAAGAAGAGTGTACTGCTTGAATCAACGAACTGGTCCCGCATCAAGCCTAACGGGTTTTGATGTACGGATCGGGAAAGGATCAGCTGTATAAATGAGAGAAACTAATATGCTAGCAAAAAGCAATAGGTGGTCTGTTCGCAATGCCGAAGGCTGTACAGGTAAACATTGGCTCGGTGCTCGTCTTTCCCATCACCCTCTAACTATCTAATGTCCAACTGTAGATAGACAGAAATAAATCAAGTCTTTAGATAAAAACGATGCTTGAGATACAGAGGTAGCAAAGTTTTGGGTTATGTCAGACTCTCAAAAAGGCGTTGTCGCCAAAATTCAGCTCAAAAGAGAAACGAATATTGGCTCTCGTTCGGAGACAATTTTGTGTCTCTTGAAGACAACTTCTTTCACGATTCGAAAGTTCTTCGACTTTCAGGACCTTTGAAAAAGGCGAAAGCGCCGACGTTAGCCGTCAATAAAGAACTGTTAACAATCTTGGAATGACGTTCACACACCAATTCCACAAAATCCATACAAACTAAGTCAAGATTTGTTGACAATACGTGCTCTTATTGAAACACCCACACTCGCAGTACAAACTCCACTCTTTGCATCAGAGAGTCGTCATGAACTCAATAAAAAAGATAAAAATGAAATAAAATAGTGTTCTGAAGGCAGCGTTCTCTTCCTCTAGTTTCTACCCACCATATGATACCGAAATCTAGGACAGGCACAATCACGAAACTGTAGACAGGAAAGTCGACAGCTAGTGAAAATCGAGCTGCATATCGTGGTAAAGCAGCACTCAAACATAGGGCAATCACAAAATCGTGACTATGACGAGGTCGGGCGCGTTGCGTACAGTCTGAAATCCAATGAGGCCGAAATTGGCATGGCGGGAGTGCGCGTCGCTAGGGTTTGCGTGACGCCTGACACGCGACGCCCGGCCTGCTTGTCTTCTCTCTCTTCGATCTCTTCACCAGGGCCCGGCATGAGTCCGTTTCTGGCTTTTGAAAACGAAGTCCCCTTTGACTTTCGTGAAATTTTACGAAGTCTCCTTTGACCCTCAGCCTTAAACGTAAAAACCTTCAAAAAAATGAAACGTCGACGAAAAGAACGTCGCAATTTTTGGCCATAAAAAATATCCCCTTTGCTTTTTCGCCCCAAAAACAAAGCCCAGTTTGCTTCCATACCATGCGCCGGGCCGCTCTTCGTCCGACAGTGCGCAAATGCAGCGCAAAACTTTAGCCCAGCGAGAGCGTAAATCTGGCCAACGGTTCGCCTGATCCCGATTGAGGCAGACTGTAAGCGTGTTTCGTCAATCACACTTTCTAGACTTTCACCTCTATTCATATTGCTTCGCGCACACATATTAACTTCGAATAGCGAAAAGAGGCACCTTTCCGTTATTACAACCCATTTTTTGAAGAGCTCTCACGGAATGCTGCCTTAATCAAGACAGTTTTATTTGAATATTGTTGGGGTGAACGGTAAAAAATGGGCCACTTACGAAATAACTGGAGGTTTTCCAAGAAAGAGAAGTGATTAGATTTTTAAATTTTGATAGATGTTAGAATATGTTATTCTCTTTCAGAAAATACCTATACCATTTACATAATTAATAATTTTTATACTTGCTGAAATGCAAAGTTAGTCACTTCGATAAATTATGAAGCTTGAGCAGTACCTGCGCAGTGAAACATGTGAGACCACCCAAAGTGCCACTGCTGGAGTGCGTGGTGGGACAGTCACTAAACCCACGACGGCTTGGTGGCCTCAACTTTCAAAGTCAGGATTATGGCCATTAGCAGCTTCGAGAACAAAGATACGCGTTATTCAATTCTTTGCAGTTGAACGCATGTTTTCTAGGTCCATCTGATAGAGCTTTTTACGCTCTATCCATCCATAGGCAGCTTACCTCAGATTTTATCTATCTTCGCGAAAATTTAAGGCAAAACATGATTTTTCGGTTTTTTATTGCGCCAAAATAGCTAATTTTCAGGTTATTTCGCTTTTTTCTCAAATTGAAAAGAAATTTCACGCAATTAACATATTGTTTGAAAGAGCATGAGGAGCTCTTTCGAATGGTATGTCATTTGCTTTATGACTTTACGGTATAGCAGCGCAAGATTGAGAATCGTTCCAAAAACCCTGTCTGAGTTCTTCATGGCGCCATGCGTACGGTTATGAGAGAGAAGCTGTAACGCGTTGCCAAATGATAGGCGAAGGTCAGTTATGTAAGCGACGTTTGAGTTGCAGCCTGCTTGTAGTTGGTGAGAACAAAAAACCTCAAAATATAATAAAAATCAAGCTGCCCCATTTTTTCCGTTCACCCTAAGGCTCCCGCCAGAGTGCCGAAGTTATGCCAGCGCTACGCCAGCATTTTGATCGATACACGTGTATTTCGTTGAGGACATCCTACCTGCTGAGCTAGCCCCGCCCCAACGAAATACACGTGTATCGATCGAAGTGCTGGCGTAGCGCTGGCATAACTTCGGCACTCTGGCGGGAGCCTAACATATGAAGTGAATTGCCATGTGTAGGTGGAAAAAATTAACAGGGTTTAGTGTATTGGTTTGACAAATTTTTCTAAAATCATTTCCGATGAGGAACAAAAGCATTTTGGAGGACTGAAGGCTGCTCACTTTTTTCATATAGAAGCAAACAAACCAGGATGTTTATCACAGCATCCTTACCGGTTTTGACAATGTTTACAAATATCTTGCTCTTCAAACTGTCTCCATTATGCGGTTTTAAACAAGAAATAGAAACAATGGCGTGAAGTACCTCGCAGCCGTCTGTTTCGCCACCCAGATAATGAAATCCTAAAACTTTCATCTGCTCTGAGCCTATCTAATATGTTCCTCTAGGAGCACAATGACATTGCCATGATTTTTTGCTGAGGTTGCGCTCATTTTAAAGTCGTTAAATCAAAAGGGGCTTACATCTTGATTAGAAGAAGGATCAATTCACGTAGATTGGCGACAAAAAAACCCTTGTAAAAACCGTAAACATGTGGACGACCTGTCAAGTTCTTTTTTGACACGTGGCAAGAGGTAGTGGATACTTCTTGCTTTGAATTCGAGGCTAAATTTGTGCAGATAAAGAAGCAAATTTCTTTTTTGAAAAAAATGCGTCTAGATAACAGAAATGTACCGAAAAGCCTGCTAAATCGTTGTCACGATTTTATGAATGCCTTCTACGAACAACATCATGCGTCATCATCAACAGCGTCGCCATGGTGAACAAGCGTTTTTGCAAAGAACGCTGCTGTGAAGAATTACGCTTGCTGTCAAACGTTCTATGGAAGGGACTGTGAGTGAAACAAAAATCAATTGATTTGGCTTGTTCTTGCACTAAGTCGAGATTACATGACATAGACCGGCAGTCGACGCCCAAAAAAATACATGTGTCTCAGCTAAAGCATTTGCAAGTCAAAATCGAATAACTGCAGCTCCGCTTCATTAAAACTTCAGGGACATATTGCCCTTCGAGCATAGATGCGATAGGAGGAGCCGAGCCTTCTGGTAAAGGGTGTCTCAGCTAATCATACCCCTGAAGGATGAAGAGGCGAGTGAGTTCTGCTGTCTGTTTGCTGACGCCGTTAGAATTCGGATCGGGGAGAGGAAAGGGAGGGGGCACCATATCATATCAATCGGCAGATTTCTGAAAGAAACGAGGCTTTTATAAAGCCGGGAAGCAAAACGCTCCAACAAGCGCTACATATCGTTCCTTCCACATTTGCTGCTACCCTTCTGGCGTCGCGGACGTGCCACGTAACTAACACGATGACAACGTCGGCAGCAACACGTTGGCAACATTCAGCGATAAGTTGGCATGGCCAAAATGTTCTGCCAACATGTTGTAGCATGTTGCAAACATGTTGTTGCCACGTTGCCAACATGTTAGCCACACGTGGCAGGTCTGAGACGCAGACCAAGGGTAGCACGAGCTGTGGAGGGGACGATACGTTTCTGAGGCTGTGAAGATCGACCTAGGCATCTGGCAAATATCGACTAGTTATGTGCTCACTCTATGCTCTCTAATCGCAACGAAGTGAAAGCTACGAGAAAACGAAGGTC